TATCCCCAGCTATAGTTTGAAACTAGAGTTAGATCCTGCAATAATAGGAGATAAATTAAATGCACTATAGATGTTGAAGTATATAACAATAATAAACTCCATATTATTGTCAATATGTGTGCCTGACATGTTGTGTGACAACGTTATCGTCTGCATCATGTGGAAGGTGTTGGATCGAAGTGTTTAACCAAGACAAATGGACAAACCTAATTGTAAGGTCACATATTCTAATGTAACAGTGACTTCTCCTCCGATGGGAAAATAAAAGGTGTGGATTTCAGTTCTCCACCTTTCAACTAACGCTGTGATAAAATGATGATTTATGTCAACAGTTTCAATTGTCATTAATTGTCCAAATCCAACCTGGTGGATTAAATTTTTAACCCAGTCATCCAACATTTGTGTATGTTTTGTTATCAATATGTTATGTCGCCTAGGATGTAATAATCTTTCATTTCCTACCCACAATACCTTTGTTACATATTTGTAAACGCAATAAGGACAGATCTGTAGGCAAATGATGACTGGAGGAAGTCATTTATGTAAATTACACATATTAATAATATTAACAATATTAATAAAATCAAAATTAACAAAAACAAATAATAATAATAATAATAATAATATGAACAAATAATATAAAAGAAATAAAAAAACAAAAATAAATAATAATAATAATAACATTAATAATAATAATAATAATAGTAAGAAAAATAATAATATGAACAAATAATATAAAAGAAATAAAAAACAACAAAAATAAATATTAATAATAATAACAACATGATATCAGTTATTAATATCAGAGCTAATAGAATGATGAATAATATTAGCTAATAGAATGATGAATAATATGAAATTTTTTGAAAAACAACAACAGACTAATGAGAATGAAAATTAGTACAAGCGCAACAATAATGAAACATGAGTGTATGAATGTAATAGAACATCATACTTCATTAAATACAAGACTCAAAATATGCAGCACATAAGAACACTAAAAATGAAGAAGTGATGAAGAACATTAAAAATGAAGAAGTGATTATAAACCGATGATAACACTCAAAATTTGTAAGTTGTATTTATAGGCAGAGAAAATAGATTTTGATAAGAAAAATCAACACCCAAATGAATAGACAATTGAACGATGAACTCCTGCAAGATTCCTGAGCCGCCTATGCTACTCTTGACATTGTTGCTCTCGTGAAGCTCTTCAGGCTTAAAGCAGATTCAACCAGGAGGACACTCTGCTCAATCGACTCTTACTTGCTCTTGACGATTTCTATATGCAATGATGAGAGAAAATCGTCACAGGATGGACGATTGTTCTTTAAAAATTGTCACAACTCCCACGACTTTGCCATTTGTCTCGCTTCATTCTTGCGCCATCATACACAACTTCAACCCATTTGTTTTGTTGTTAAAGTCATTTTTGCTTGCACAATTTTGGATCATTTCTTATTTCAACACATGTTAATTGCATATTATATACGCAAGGACTCATCAATAGTTCGCTACAATTTTAGCTCAGATCAATAGACACAGATGAATAATTGTAACAGGACTTCGAAGACCTATATAAATGATTTAATGTTTCGTTTAAATCAATCCATTACACTTTATTATTTCTAGTTATTGAAGTTTAATTTATAAAGGTAATTTAAGTATATTTTATTTAAATTTTTAAATAAGTTACCTTTTATTAAATTTTATATATTATTTACATTTTGTAATTAAATTTTATATATTATTTACATTTTTTTATATAAATAAATTTTATTTAAATTTTTTAATCAATTACTTTTTATTAAATTTTATATTTTATTTACATTTTGTATTTAAGTATATTTTATTTAAATTTTTTATCGAGTAAATTTTTATTAAATTTTATAAATTGTTTACATTTTTTATTTAAGTATGTTTTATTTAAAAAAATTTAATTAGTTACTTTTTATTAAATTTTATAAATTATTTACAATTTTTTATTTAAGTATATTTTATTTAAATTTTGTAGTCATTTACTTTTTATTAAATTTATAAATTATTTATATTTTTAATCATTTACTTATTTTATTAAATTTTATAAATTATTTAAGTCAATTTTTTAATCAATTTTTTTAATTAGATGGACAGATTTTAAGTTGGTACCTCATCCATGGCCGTTAATGATCCTGTTATTCAAGATATTGTTGAAGATTTGACTGATGAAAAAGAAGATGATTTTTTCACTACTGTAATGTATATGAATGATGATATCTTGCTACATGTTGTTGGACAATCGTCAAATCAATTTACCCAGATAAACGAAAACAACATCTAGGAAGATCGGTGTTTTCCATAAAAACAGGGAAACAGTAAGTGCAATCAAACAATTTTATATTAATGAAGGATACATATTTTCTGTTGTTGAGTCTAAAGCTGACAAATATATTGCTCGTTGTATACATTATGACAACAAATATCAATAGAGAGTTCGTGCTTCATACAATAAAATTTGTACCTAATGGGAGATTAAGAAAATTGAAGCACCACATACATGTTTGAGTACGATGTTAAACCCGGATCATCAAAACGTAGACTCTTCCATCATTGCTAACATTATTTTTGAATTAGTTAAAACAAATCCCTCTGTTCCTATTAAAACTTTGATCGCAGAAGTCAAAGACAGACATTGTTATACAATGACTTACAAGAAAGCATGGACAACGAAACAAAGGGCACTTGCTCTGGCATTTGAAGATTGGGACAACTCATATAATGATCTTCCAAAGTGGTTGCAAGCAGTTGAAGATAGTAATCCTGGTACAATTATTCAATATGTTTGTTCTCCTTATTCAGTGTATGGTGTCCATAGTAATTTATCATTTATATTATACCGTGTCTTCTGGTCATTTAAGCCATGTATAGAAGGGTTTAAATATTGCAAACCAATTATTCAAGTTGACGATACATTCTTAACAGGGAAATATCATGCTACGTTATTAATTGCAACTTCACAAGATGACAATAGAAATATATTTTCACTTGCATTTGCAATTATGGAAGGTGAAACGAAAGAGACATTGATATGATTCTTCCAACTTCTAAAACGTTACGTTACACCTCAAAAATTATTTATGCATGATAACAGACAGAGACAAAGAAATATTATCAGTTTTACAATCAAAAGATTTTGATTAGAATGATCTCACCTCAGTGTATTGTATTCGTCATATTGTCTCAAATATCAACAAAAAATTCAAAAATGTTGATTTAAAAAGACAACTCATTAATCTAGGTAACACTTTTAACTTAGACAAATTCTTTTCTCTAAATAAAATATGTCTAAAATAATATTTTCTATGTAGGATATGAAATGAAACAACCAAAACTTTTAGTAAAACTATCTACTTTAAGGTATGACTTTCAACAACAAATGTCCTGGTTAGATGAGATTCTACTGAAAAAATGGACTCAAGCTTATGATGGAGGGAAACGATATGGACATATGACAACAAATCTTGCTGAGTCTATGAATTTTGTTCTCAAAGGAGCATGAGTTTTACCTATATCTTTCTTAGTAAAAACAATTATTGAAAGAATTAAATTTTGGGTTTGTGGAAAGAGACATGAAAGTAGAGTACATGTTATGAGCTAGACATGAGTGTCCAGAACATATTACTATACTGCTTAACAAAAACGAACAACGTACTCGAATGTGTCATGTTCAAATGTACAATCGAGATAATTATGAGTTTGATGTACAAAACCAATTCAATCCCCAACATCGTCAAAGATCGATAAGTTACACAATTCGATTAAATCAATGGTGGTGTGATTGTGGGGAATTTCAAGCTCTTCAACTCCCTTATTTTCATGTTATTGTTATCTGTTCTTCTTGTCATTTACAACTGACTGCATTTATCAATCCAATTTACAACTTACAAAGTATTTATAAGGCGTATGAATTTCAATTTCATCCCGTTCAAAATAAAGATTATTGGTTTACTTATACAAGTCCAAATTTTTGTCTTGATCCTAATATGCGTCTTGACATATCAGGAAGACTTACAACTAATCGGATTCGAAATGAAATAGATGTATAAATTGGAAATAAACCAAAAAAATGTTCCTTTTATCGAAATGAATGATATGATAATGCTCCATATTGATAATAATTATGTAATTTGTTTTAGTAATATAATATTTTAATATAAATGTAGTGAATTAAATTTAATCATCTAAATAATTTTGTTTTCTATTAAATTAATAATTCAATTAAAAACAATTATTTAATAAATAAATATTTAAAAAATAAAAAATCTTATTTAAAAAAAACAATTATGCCTAATTTTAGTTTTTTTTTAATATAAATCATTAAAATCGTGCACGATTTTTGTCAAAATTATATTTCCAAACACGATTTTATGCTTTAAAAAAAATTCAAATCTACTAAAATTGTGCTTGAAAGTATAATTTTAACGGAAACAGTGTTTTCAAGTACGATTTCAATACCCCAAATGGTCACTCCTTATACAATTTAGTCCATTTTGATAAAATTCAATTTTTTTGAACCCATGTAGTAAAATTCAAAATTTTTTAAACTCCTCTCATTAAAAAAAAAAAAAAAGACTAAAAAAGAAACAGCAACGGTATATGTCAACAACCCTAAAAATGAAATAGGGAAGCATCATCTTAGTATTAAGATCAGTTGAATAGAGTATTTTTAATTTATTAATATTCTCTATAAAATAAGTTCAAGAAGTTTGATACATTTAAAGAGCCTACATCACTTAAAGTTAAGGTATTTTAAGAAAATATCGTTAAATAAAATAAAAATACTTTAAATTGTTTATATTTGAAGACATAAAAATGAAATCAAAGATAAAATATATTTTAAAGCTACTTATTTATTTTAACTATATAGATGCTTTAAGCTTGAAAAATAAAACAAAATACAACACAAAATAAATCATTCAAACGTAGTGATTTTATTTAAACACATGGAAGCCGAAGTGTTTTCAAAGATTGGTTGTGGGTTCTTGAGGCTTGGAAAGTTTGATCTGATGGAGTTCCTGAATCAATTCCTTGATGTTGTTGTGGGACGATCCACCTTCCTGAATAGCTCGCTTTGCAGCTTCGCTTAGCGTCTTCGCTCTTCTTCTCTGTTCTCCATTCTCCTCCTTCATCATCAAACCAATCGCGTTTGCAATGTCTTGGCGTTTCACAACCTCACCCCCAAACTCGTTCCAGTTTCTCCACTCTTTGGCGCCCACTGACACCCCAATTTTCAGCACATCCACCACCAGCTTCTCGTTGAAAAACTGCTCCGCAAACAGAGGCCACGTCACCATTGGCAACCCCGCGTTCACGCTTTCCATCACCGTATTCCAACCACAGTGAGTAACCAACCCTCCAATCGCAGGATTCTCCAGTATCAGCAACTGTGGCGCCCAACCCCATATCAGATACCCTTTCTTGCTTTCCTTCACTCTCTTCTCAAACTCTTCCAAAAAGCTTTCTCCTTCTCCAGCCCCCTCTTTTTTCCTCACAACCCACAAGAAATCTTTCCCCGAATCTTCAAGCGCTCGCGCGATTTCAACAAGCTGGGAGCGTGGAAACTTGTTCATGCTCCCGAAACTCACGTACAAAACAGAACTCTCTGCCTTCGTGTTGAGCCACTTAAGCCACCCTTCTTCTTCCACTTTAGCGTGCCCTCGTGTAGCCTTATCCGAAGCATCCTGGTTCGCCCACGACGAAACCGGTCCAATTCCCCAACTCTTGGTCCCCATGACGCTCTTGTAGTGCTCGTAGTAAGCACTCTCGAGGTCGTAGAAACTGTTAAAAAGTGACCCGTAGCTCTTTTTTTCTGACTCCTTAATCGTCTTCATCAACTCCGTGTACTGGTTCGAAGATCTGAGCCAATCCGGCAACTGCAACCGCGTCATCTCCAACTTGTCCGGCAACCCAGGTAACATAAACCAGTCGCTGTCGGATTTCGCTGCCAGATGGGGTGCGTACTGCTCGATAGCATGCGCAGCAGAGAGAGCGAGATAACTTGCGCCGTGAAACATGATCCGGGGAATGCGGAGCTTGGCGGCGGCTTCGACGGTCCAAGGATGGAACATGTCGGTGACGATGAAGTCGGGTCGGAGATGGTGGAAGAGTTGTTCGAACTGTGGTTGGAGAAGGGCGAGAGTCATATAGATTCTGCTGATCATCTCGCGAGGCGTGTCGAGGTTGAGGGTTTCGATCCCCGGCGGAAGGCCCACTTCAGCGGCGGGGAAGTTCACGACGTGCGTTCTGATGAGGCGGCCGCGACTGGAGTCAAGATCGACGGACTTCTGGAAAACGTTGGCGTTTTGTGGGGTGGTTATTATTGTGACGTCTACGCCTTGCATGGCGAAGAGCCTAGCCATGTCCACTAGAGGAATTATGTGACTAGTCGACAGAAATGGAAGAAAAACTGATCTTAGCTCTCCCTTTTTCTCCATTGCTATGCTATTGTCTACCATCTTCAGATTCTTCTTCCTTCCACTTATATATATATATATACTGCAACCTCTCAACGCCCTTTCTTGTATAATCCACACTTACACTTTTGTCATCTACTCCATTATTAATTAATTCTGTAAGTGAATTTAATTATTTTCTTAATGACATATGAACACTCTTTCTGTCACCGTTGATTATAATAATTATTGGTTATCGAGCTATATGATTACAGCATCGAATTTTTAAAGAGAGGTGCTTAATAATAAAATTAAATATTTTTTTTATAGATCTCTCAATTAAGATGTTTAAAACGTTATAAGAGTTATTTATATAAATAATTTGTTTTTAATTTTAAATAATTTTCTTAAATTTTAAATAATTCATATGTAGAATTTATAATAAAATATTATTTTTATTCCTGTTAAGAACTCGTTTGCCATTACTCCGAATAATTTAATTCAAAGAATGTTTTGGGTCTAGAGCAATTGACGGCGGCAGTGAGTAATTAAGGTCGAAGCACGAGTAACGCGAGGCCTTGTTTAAGTATATTATATTAATACATAAACTCTGCGTTTCTTCTTGTTACTATTTGGGTCATGATATTTTGATGAAAAAACAACTAAAAAAACAGCCAATTTTATTAATATAATAATTAAGAAAGAGATTAAATAAAAATAAAAACAAGTTAAAATTATTATAATAATATTAAAAGTGAATTATTTATTAAAATTTTATAAAATTGGGTTATCAAATTATTATTTTTTTATTATTATATGTCATCTCATGGAGTACCTCGTGGTGGGTCATAAAATATTTTTTATTTTATTTTAAAACATCTCTTATGATCTTACTCCACGTTCATACTACCATTATCAGAGCATGTTTTTCTGTCGGTCTTGTATCAACCAAAAAACCATAAGATGAAAGGATAAGGAAAGTGTGTTATAAAAGAGAAAGAACAAATATCTTCTTTTATTTAAAGAAAGAAATAATTAAAAAAATATTGTTTAATATGAATGGTTTACGTTTTCACTAAAATGAAAATTATAAAATTATCTTCTCTAATAAAGGATTTTTCATTTTTGTATGTTTAATTTTTAATTACCGATTTTAAAAAATTAATTCTATATTATATGCAAAGATTAATATAGATTAATCATCATTTTCTTTGCCTGTTTTTTTTTCTTCCCGTCGAATATAGACTTAAATAGCTACGAAGCAGAGAATTGGTTCTAGGAAACTCACTTTATACGCAACTTTATTTTTATGTTTTGAAGTAGGATCTTGAAGTGATTAAAATAATGATATCAATAATGGGCATAGTCACACTGGCACTTTTGTGGTCTACTCCACCATTAATTAATTAGTTGTTAGGTGAATTTAATTTATTAGTTTTGTGACATACAAACAAGCACACACTTTTGACTGTAGATTCTGGTATCATATACAAATGTAGATTCGAATTTAACTAATTCTAGGTGATCGAGTCATACGATGAGATTCGTTATGGATCACATTATTTAATTAGAAGAATGTTCTTGTAGTGCTGAGCAATGAAAGATAGTGAATAATTTAAACACGTCTTGTACAATTTTGGAACAGTTCAGATCACCAGGGAGTACTATTTTATGTAAAAAAAAAAAACATCTTGTATTTGTTGATTTTTTTTTATTTCAAATTTTTTAATTTATATATATATATATATATATATATATATTTATAAATATTAAAATGAAATAAATTATATACCGATATTATGAATTATTTATATTGTTTATGTTATCATCAGATCAGTGGAGTTCGGTAAGAAATATAATGAAATTGGTGATTCCTGTTTTGATTTTTTATTTTATTTTTATTTTAATAATGATAAATGACTTCCTTTACAAGAAGTAAAGATTCATTTATAAGAAATATTTTGACTTTCAAATTAATTTTTAGATGAGAGGATAATATATTGTGAAAAATACTTATAAATATACTTGTAAAATTTATATTGTTTAGAAATCAAGGTTAATAAAAATTTAAATATATCTTTTTTTTATTCATTATAACTAATAAGAGTTTTAAAATAAGAATTGACTCTACCAACATAAATTCAAATCGTTTTCGTTTCTATCCTAAGCAACATGAATTTAAATTATAAAAATATAAAAATTTATTATAATAAATTATCATGTTTAAATAATTGTTTCTTAAATATAAGATTCGGAACTACATAATATTTAAATATATAGTAGATAATAAGTTAAAAGTTGTTATATATATATATATATATATATATTCTTTAAATAGTAGATGGTATATATATATAATTACACGTTATGACCGACAGCTCTTAAAAAAAGTTCCATGATCAACTTTTTTTCTACGATAAAAATGACGACAATTTTTTATATAAAAATGTACTTTATAATCATTGTCATATAAAAGTTATATTTTTTAGGCTTATAAATAGGATAAGAATCATTATCCAATTATACGATTATAACAAAAAATTTCATACACATATAACAATAATTATAATAAAATTTCATATTTGTTCTACTTATATGATCTATTTTATAATTTTTTTTTAAATTTATATTACAAATAATTCAGTCTATTTTAAAAATTACAATAAACATGTTTATATGGTTTAATAAATTACAAAATAATTATCTTTTTAAAATATCACTCACATCAATAATTTCATAATAAATTACACCAATATAATGTTTTTGTCCCACTATTAATTAATTTGGAAAATAAATTTAATTATTTTCTGAATGGCATAAAAACACTTTATTTATTTTTACATAATTAATTCGAGTTATATGACGAGATTAGTCTTTTATCACATGAAATATATCTGAATGTTATTTGTTGGACTTTCAGATAATTTAAAATTTGAAGCCCGTGTCACTCGTGGGAGGACTAACTTTGGGCTGATGTATAACACAGTGTAAACAGAATTTTATTTTTTGTTTTTTATTTAATAAATTATTTATTTTAACTTTTTATATATTTTGTTCATTATTTAATACCTTTTATTTCATTTTTTCTATTTTCTATTTTTTAATTACACTTTCTTCTTATAAGTGATTTTATCAAGTTTATGTATGCTGCAAATCATACACCAACTATAAGGGATATGAAATCATTAAAAATTAGACTAAAATTCGTACATCATATTGAATTTTAATTACCAAATTTAACCTCTCAAGAATGCAGTATCTAACAATTTCAAGTACCATAAAAATAAACATAATTGATTTTAATCAATTTGAATGCTAACAGAACTAAAACTTATTTTTACCCATATGAACCTTATTCATAAGATCTTCAATCACAAAGGTTGGATTACCATCACTTGTTTATTTGCAAGTGACTTGAAATGAAAGTGATGATGATCTTATTGAATTACTTTAACAAAGATCTTGTTGATTTGATGAAGTCAAAATGAAGTCAAAGACTACTTTACTGCAGTCAAAGGTTACTTAGATAAAAGGATAGTGTGATTAGTGAGTCTGCATCTTTACTTAGGTGTAATCATTTTTATCTCTCTCGCTGCATGAGGTTTCTTCATTTAAAAGATTTTGCAAATACCTCTAAAAAATGTTTAAACGGTTAAAAACAAAGTATTTTGTTAAAATGTTTTTAATTAACTATTTTAACTAATAGTATATAAGTTTTATCAACTAAAATGTTCTTAACACTTTTGTAATGCATTTTTAACCGATATGTTTTCGAAATAATTGATTGTTTTCATTAGAAAGATTTTTGAAAACCTTCTGCCATTATTTTAACTCGATATAGAATTGATATAATCGATTAAAATGACTTAGAATATTTTGAAAAGTGTTCTAGCGGAATTTTAATCGATACAAACTCGAAATAATCGATTGAAATAACTTGAAGTGTTTTGAAAGTTGTTACATCAGTATTTTAATCGATACAAATGCGAAATAATCGATTAAAACAACTAAGAGGTTTTCCCGAATGTTTTAATCGATTAAAACATGCTTGCTATCGCTTAAAATAACTTATAAAGTTTTATGAAATCTTTTGGCGTAATTACAATCGATTAAAATGCGTTTCAATCGATTAAAATAACTAAGTGAACTTTTTTCAAAGTGTTTTAATCGATTAAAACATATTGTTATCAGTTAAAATCACTTAGAAAAATTTATAAGAATGTTTAGCAGTATTTTAATCGATTGAAATACGAAACAATCGATTAAAACAATTTGGAAGATTTTTACAAAGAGTTTTAATTGATATAAACGTTATCGTATCAGTTAAAACAAATCTGGAAAATAATCAAGAACATTTTAACAGATTAAAAGAAGTGTTAACAAACTAAAACAAGACTTTTATCAGATTAAAAGATTATTTTAATAGATTAATTAAACCAGCAGTTTGAAAAATCTTCTATAAAAACAGAATTGCTTGAACCTTTTGAAACACATCTTTTGTCAATCAATCAAGCAATCATAAGTGCTACTTTCAAGAGAGAATCGCGCTAGTTTTGTGAAGTTCATAGAAGTTCTTTCTTGAGGCAAAATTTGCATTCTTTTGGAGAAGAAACTCATTCTGCAGAGCTGCATAAACCTGGTTTGGGTGTTCTAGTTTCTTCTCTTTGTTTCTTTACTTTCTTTACTGTATTGTGGGTGCCTGAAATTGTGGGCACTGGTTTCTGTAGCTGGAATTTGGCTGCATGGTTGGTCAAGAACTGGAATTTGGTTCTTGGTGAAGGTTTAGGTGCAAGGACTGGAATTTTGGTTCTTGTGGTAGATTGAGTGTGGGATTAAAGTAGTTGTAAGAGTAGAGTTACTCCATACATCTCTAACAGAGTAGAAATGTGTTCATGTCAGCGTCAAAAGTTTTGTTAAATGAAAACTTCAATTATCAAAATGTCTGAGAAATGTTTCGTAAAGACAATTTGAGTTACATAAACATTGTTTGTCTTTTTCGGGTATAGAGTTGTTGGTATCCATACTATCAGTCATAAGTCCTTAAGATTGTTGTAAAAACTAAC